GTGTGTGTGTGTGTGTGTGTGTGTGTGTAAAAGTCTCATTTTATTTCTCTATAACTAAGATTAAATTAGCTTTTTTATTTTTTATTTTATTATTGATAGTATTACAGATGTCCCCCATTTTCCCCCCTTTGCCCCTCTCTGCCCAGCCCCTGACCCACCCCAGGCCTTCACCACATTACTGTCTATGTCCATGGCTTATGCATATATGCATATATGTTCTTTGGTTAATCTCTTCCTACCCCCCACCTCCCTCCCCTCTGAGATATGTCAGCCTGTTCCATGTATCCATGCCTCTGGACCTATTTTGTTCATCAGTTTATTTTGTTTATTAGATTCCACATATAAGTGAGATCATGTGATGCTTGTCTTTCTTTGACTGGCTTATTTCACTCAGCATAATTATCTCCAGGTCCATCCATGTTGTTGCAAAGCTGGGTGGTGAGTACAGGGTATTCATTACAGAATTCTCTATGGTCAGAACATGGGCTTTATATATCTGGGCTTGAACATGACTTGTATAAATCCCTCTAGTTCTCTGAGCCTCAGTTATTTCACCTGTCAACAGTACTGCACTAAGAACTCTACATATGTTATTTAGAGCTCACAACATTCCTCTGAAGTATTATCTCCGCTTTACAGGTAGAGAAAATTAGCTCAGAGTAGTTAAGTGGTGGCCCAGGATTTCAATCCTGTCTGACTCCAAAGCCCAGACTTGTGTGTACCCAACCTCAGCTCATAGGACAATTGTGAGGAGTTGATGTATAGAAAATTGTAAAGTAATTATAGATGTGGATGATGATGATGATGGTGGTGGTGGTGGTGGTTATCATAGAAATATTGGCAGAAATGGAACAGTTAGAATTGAACTCATACTTTGCAGCTGGTACCTAAGATTAGTGGGAAATAGAAAGCTGCTTCAATGTACCAGTGGAGTGTGGGATGAAGTACAGAGGGACACCTTTCCAATGACAGAGTGACACAGATTGAAGAAAAGAAGGCTGTATAACAGAGATGGGCAATCTTAATTTTATCAGGAGCCCTGACCCAAAGAAAACTAATGACAGCCATACACTAGTAGAAAGCAACTTATTTTAGTATTTTTAAGAGATCAAAATATCGAACAGTCAGATTATCTGCTTTCAAAATTAAGAACAAGGAAAATGAATCTACATTCAAAAGATACAGCAAAGACTGAAAGTAATGATAATGGTAGTGTTTATAAGAACTGGGGCAATGGGCAGCCTCATACACTGCAGGAGGGAGAGTTAATTGGTATAACCATTTTGGAGGGCAATTTGACAATAGAAAGCTTAAAATATGTATGAATGCTGTTTGGCCAATCATTCTTTTTCTAGGCATTTAGCCTAAAGAAATAATTGGACAAGCATGAAAAGATATATACAAGTATGTACTTCACAGGGATGTTTATAATAGCAAAAAATATCCAAGAATTGAAGATTGGCTAAACCATACAATATAGGACTAGGCAACTTTAAAATTAGAGATTTTTTATATATTGACAAAAGATTAGAAAACATTATTTATAATATAGCATTTTAATTAATTAATTAATTTTTAAATATACCTTTATTGATTTCAGAGAGAGGAAGGGAGAGGGAGAGAGAGAGAAACATCAATGACGAGAGAGTCATTGATTGGCTGCCTCCTGCATGCCCCCGACTGGGGATCGAGCCCTCAACCCCGGGCATGTGCCCCTACCTGGAATCAAACCTTGATCTCCTGGACCCTAGGTTGATGCTCAACTGCTGAGCCACACCCGGCAGGGCAATAATATAGCATTTTAAATAAAAATATAGATATTCTACACAGAAAAGATGAATAAATATGAACTAAGATATTACTAGTAATTATCTTTATTATCATCTGTACTTTCTAATCTTTCTACAGTTAAGACAAACAACAATTTCCAAATTGACAACAAATAAATTCACCATGGTTCTCAAGTACAGTCAATTAAAGTGGGAAAAGGGAGAGAGAAAGAAAAGGAAAGATGGGACAAAGGAAAGGAAAATATAGAGAAGGGGAGAAGAGGAAAAGAGGTGGCTGGAAGGAAGCATGGGGAGAGATGGAATGAAAGAGATGAAGAATAAGACAGAAAAAGATCAGGAGGGGTGAGGCAGAGGGATCTAGTAACCCTTGAGGTGAGGGTATTAGATGAGTTGTTCTTAACACATCCAGCTGTTTGCATGTGGGGAGGGGATCACTGCCTCTCAAGACCTTATTGGCTCTCAAGCAGCTAAGAATCATCTTTTGTTTGTGCTAGGACATACTGGTTTTTATTTTTTAAAAATTCAACATCTACTTTAAAGTTATTAATTTATACTTGTGTTTATTATACAAATAATGCATATTAATTGTGTGAAAATGAGAAAATACAAAAAAGATAAAGCATAACTCCACCATAATATGTCACATTACAGAGGTAACCCTGTTTATAACTGCTGCATTTGCTTCCCAACTTTGTTTCTATAATTAAATATAAGGTTGCCTTAGGTATTTATGACTTCTCTCTCACTGACTTTTCTAAAATTTGAATTTTTACTTTGAGACCATTGTAGTTTCACATGCAGCTGTAAGAAATAATAAAGAAAAATCCCAGATAGATTTTTATTAAACAACACTTCATTCACACAACCACATATACTGCCCTACAACTGGCCTTTAATCACTCAATGGTATAGAGTAAGCATATTTTACATCAACAAATGCAACTTGACAGGAGAAAAAAACATAATAGAAAATATGATGCAAATAAAGTTATCTTCATAAAAGTAACAAAACATAAAATAGCTAAGGAATTCCCTTAAATATATACAGCTTAAGTGAATAATAATATCAAACTCTACTAAGGGAAGATTAGAATAAAAGGGAAAAAATCTTATTCCTGGACCAAAATGCATTTTTTAAACTAAAAATTTCTTTCTGTAGATTATTCTGAAGATTCTGCAGGAAAGTGAAAAAACGATTTAGGCTTTGGAAATAAAGAGAAATTGAGAGTCTTAAATAAGTTGGTTAATTTACTAGCTATACCCCAGTTTTTCTCTGATCATAAGGATGCCCAACAGCATGAGAAAACAAAGGAGCTCCCATAAGACTGTCAGCTGATTTCTCATCAGAAACTCTACAGGCCAGAAGGGAATGGCATGAAGTATTCAAGGTAATGCAAAACAAGGATCTGAAACCAAGACTACTCTATCCAGCAAGGTTATCATTCAAAATAGATGGTAAAATAAAGAGCTTTCCAGACAGAAAAAAAAGGCTAAAAGAGTTTATCACCACCAAAGCAGCATTGCAAGAAATTTTTAGGAGACTGCTGTAATAAGAAGTTGAAAGACAGAGAATGAGAAACATAGGCATAAAGAAATAAAGTGGCAATAGCTAAGTACCTATCAATAGTAACTTTAAACATAAATGGATTAAATGTCTCAATCAAAAGACATAGGGTAGCTGAATGTATAAGATAACAAGATCTAAATACATGCTGTCTACAAGAGACCCACCTCAGAACAAAAGACTCACCAAGGTTGGGAGAAAAACAATACTTCTAGAGGACTTTAAAGGAGAGATTGCCAGCAATACAGTCAGAGTAGGGGACTTTAACACCCCACTGACTTTACTGGATAGATCTTCCAGACAAAAAATCAGTGACGGTAAATGATACACTAGATAAGATTAATTTAATTGACATTTATAGAACATTCCACTCCAAAGCTGCAGAATAGGCATTCTCCTCAAGGACACCTGGGACATTCTCAAAGATAGATCACATGTTAGGACACAAAATAAGTCTCTACAAGTTCAAGAAGATTGAAATCATATCAAGCACCTTCTCAGATATTTACACCATGGAATACTATGCAGCTATAAAAAAGAAGGCTCCCTTACCCTTTGAGACACCAAGGTGGGACCTGGAGAGTATTATGCTAAGTGAAATAAGTCAGTCAGAGAAAGACAGTTATCACATGATCTTATTCATATGTGGAATCTCATGAACAAAATAAACTGATGAACAAAATAGATCCAGAGACATAAAAGCATAGAACAGACTGACGAATCTCAGAGGGAAGGCGGGGGTGGGTGGGGAGAAATTAACATAAGAATTTATATGCAAATATGCATAGCCCATGGACACAGAAAATAGTGGGGTGCAAGCCTGAGGGGAGGGGTACAGGGTGGAGGGGATCAATGGGGGAGAAAAGGGGGCATTTGTAATACTTTCAACAATAAAGATAAATTAAAAAAACAAAAAACAAAAGAAAACTGCAACCTTCGGGTCACAGCCAAGCTTATAGAAAAACACAGGTTTTTAAAAATTTATCCAGGTCTTTAAAAATCTTTTAATTATTTGCCAACATTTGAAAATCAGGAAATTTGCATAAAAATATGGATTTCTGACATATTGAATCTTTCCATAGGCAATCTAAGCCCATGTTCTGATCAGCAGTGAAGCAGGGGCACCACCAACAGTAATGGAGAAAATCAGAAATTCTAGAAACTATTTAAATTTCAGCATGCATGTAAATTTTGAAAAATAAAATTTCATTTATGTTTTAAAAACATATCTATTTTAAAATATTATTTGGGGAAGGGACACCATAGTATTTTCAGATTTTGTGCCTCTAAAGGTCTTATTCTGAGCTTAATTTCCTGTTCCTCTCTAACAATCAGAAAATTTGGCCCCACTGGGCTGGAATTCCCAGTTGTTAGCCCCCACCAGACAAGGAATTCACAGTTCCTGCCACTATTTGGTTTTTCTTATATCCCTCCAGTTCACTTGCTTAGTCCACTCACTCAGGTTACTTGCCTGGCATGTGTGACATTTCAGTTTGAGGCCCTTGACACAAAGACCAACAAAGATTTTTCACTTACTCTTTCAAACTTTTTAAAAAAATTTATCTTTATTGTTGAAAGTATTACAGGTGTCCCATTTTCCCCCCCAATTGACCCCCTCCACCTCATTCCCACCCCCTCCCCAGGCCTTCACCCTGTTATTGACTGTGTCTATGGGTTATGCATATATGCACATAACTTCTTTGGTTAATCTCTTCCCACCCTCCACCCC